GTATATTTAGTCCATCTGTCTTCCTGCAAGTCCATTTGTTCAACTGAACAATAAGAGCTAAGCCACCAAAATTGGTATGCCCCTTTTTCTTCTCCTAACTTAAAGCAAGGTCAGGGTTTGTTTGTGCCAGGAAAATGGGAAGTGCCTGGAATGGGATTGTTTCCCATAACATGGAAAGGGAGGGGCTGATCCAAAAAAAAAAAATACTGCAGAGTGAGCACTGGGGGCAGCAAGTGATGGGGACAGCTATACTGCAGAATGACCACCGGGGACAGCCACACAAGCAGGAGAGTTTGCTTGGAGACAAGGCTTGACTCTGCCAACCATGAGACCAGGTAAGTGGACTCCTGCTCCAAATAGTGCTGGACAGGGGACATCCACCAAGCCCACTGCCACAGCTCTCCACTGCTCCCACCACGACTGGGCAGCACAGCACAGCCCCTCCTCCATAAGAGGCCCCTGAAAGAGAACATGAAGCCAGGAACCATGGACCAACACCCCCATAGAGCCTCTCCCCCTACTCAAGACCAGCTGCAGGGCAGGTGAGGGGGATGCTGGAGGCTAGGACCAGCCCCCATACTAGCTGCACTGCTTCCAGAGCCCTGCCCCCACAACAGGTGAAGGCCAGGGCCAGTCTACAGAGCTCTGCCCCAGCACCACAGGAAGAGCTGCCAGCTCAGAAGCGCTACCCTCACCATTATGGGTGACCACAGTAAGCTTCCCTCCCCTGGCCTCCCAACCCCCTTACTCTGATTCTTGCACCTCCAAGTCCCTGCCCTGAGCTGCCTAACCCTCCCAGCCCCCTACCCTGACTTCTGCGCCTCCACCCTCTGGCTTGATCTCCCCCACCTTCCACCCACTGCCCTGATTCCTGCATCCCCACCCCATCCTGAGCCTCTCACATACTGCCCTGACTCCTGCACTCCCCACTCCCTCCTCTGAGCCCCATCACTTAAATAAAACATGCAATTTTAATTTTAATTCCCCCCCCCAAAAAAAAAAAACTACTACAGGTAAGATCTACTAGTGTTTAATATAGCACTTATGTAACATTAGTTAATATCTCTGATATAACTGTAAACATTTTAAAACTGGTTACCTTAGAGAAATATTTTGTGTAATCAGCAAGTAATCTAGGGTATGTCTAGATTACATAGCTCCGTCAACAGAGCCATGTAGATGAGTTTACTAAACATAGGAAAATGAAAAGGCGATTTAAATAATTGCTGCTTCATTTACATAAAAATGGCCACCACGCTGTGCTGATCAGCTGATTGGCGGCACAGTGGGGCAGTCTGGACGCGCTGCGGTCGACAAGGGAAGCCTTTGTCGACCGCTCCGGTAAACCCCATTTCATGAGGTGAAGGCCAGGGCCTTCAGTTAAAATAGCATTTTTTCTAGCAGTTAACACCTCTTTTCTCAGTGCCGGAGAGAAGGGAAGTAATTTCCATGTTGCCATACAGTAAGCTCACTGGGATCTGTGGGAACTCTGAAAGATTTAATTTACATATTAATGCTACCAGCATTTCAAGAGGGGAAGAGGAGAGTTTTTAACCACCAGTAATGAGCAGAGTAAAAGACAGACAGGTAGAAGGTTAAAGTCCCTATGGACTGTTTTGTTTTCAATAATTTTAGACTGCCTATAATGCCCTTTAATAAGCTGCTTTCTCAGCTGTGAAGCTACAACAGCTTTTGTGTGAGTGAATACTGTCCCAGACAGCAAAACAAAGAGTTTTGATATCATGGACTAAGAATTCCACCACCTAAATAAGGGCTTCTTTAAAAAGTTAAGAAACCTCCATCAATGAAAAAGAAATGTTTTGCTTCTATTGATGTGGGTATTTTTTTTTTTTAATCAAAAGGGGCTTTTAAGAAACATGTCCATCAAAATAATTTTAAGTTTTTAAATCCCTTTCTGGTTATTTATTACAACCTTAGTTTACAACTAAAGGAATTACATAGGCTCATTTACAGTTTCATCCTTCATGTTTGTTTAGGATTTATTACACTTCATAAACTACCCAAACAAACTTAACTAGTCCAGTTTTAGGATTTATAATCCGTGTCTCTGCCTCGCTTCATTAAATTGATGTAGTGTATAGTATTTGGGTTTTCAGTACTGCAGTGGATCACTTATGTAAATTTAGATGACAAAAATAATTTTTTTCAATTTAATGACTTGTGAATTTCTACCAACCCCATAGTCTGGTAGTAACTACTAAAATATTATCCCCTTTTAAAAGTAAAACGCCAATGTTCCACAGAATTTATCAGAGAAGGATGTCCTGAAAACTGTGGGTTCACATTCAGTGCTGCCTGAAGCAGGCACAATTCTACTAATGTCAACAGAATACCACCTGTTTATACATGAATCCAATATATCCTCAAGTTCCATAATCACTCACTCTGGATTGAAAGCATCTGATATTAGTTTAGAAACATATTTTAAAAAACTTTCATTATTTCCTCTCTCCATTTTTATACTTAAGGGTATTTACGTGAAAACAGGATCTATTTTTCTTCAAATTCTGTCTGATCTTTTCCCATTTAATATCACCGCTCTCTGACAGCACAATTGGTTGCCGACAGAAATCTTATCTTTTAGGTAACCATCAAGGAGATAATCTACAGAAAAAACTTACAAGTTATCAAAGTTTCCCATAAGGTTACAGTAACTAACCAAAATTAAAGATGGTTAGTCTCTTAGAAAGTTGCTCAGTCATATAGCAACAACTCTGAACACACAGAAGGAACTACTTCTACAGTAACAAAGGGTACATCTAGACTACATGCCTCTGTCGACGGAGCAGGTATCCTCGTTTCACGAGGCATAAAGGATCTGACGACAAAGGGTTCTGGAGTCGGCAGATCCCTGTCTAGACTGCCACGCTGTGCCGACAAACAGCTGATCGGCACAGCGCAGTGGCCATTTTGATTTAAATGAAGCGGTGAGTATTTAAATCGCAGCTTCATTTCCCTTTGTCATCCTGCCTCATCTACATGGCTCCGTCGACGGAGCCATGTAGTCTAGACACACCCAAATAGTTTGAGGAGTCACAAAGAAATGAAATACCAACTAGTAGGAATATCAGTATAATATCTGGTGCTTAAACCTTTTGGAGAAACATTCACTTCCTTAAATCTACAGCTGAAATTTTTGATATTCTTTCTTTCATTATAAAACAACCTGCTACTGTGTTAACAGAACCCTGCATTTAAACATTTCATTTTGTAAATAGCTTTAGTTTATTTAATGAAAAAATTATCACAAAAATAATTTCAGTATGCATGGAATTTCTAAGTAAAAGGGTAGATTTCTTCTCTTACCAGATTTCTGTCTCTATCAGAAGCTTGTTAGACTGGGGACTTACTGTGGCTGTGACTCATGAACACATCAGATTTCCACAGTCATGCTTTCTCTGTGGGGTGCTGTATAATAATAGTATGTCACTCTACTCTCAGCCAGCTGTTCCATTTGCCATTAATATTTCATATACTTTCTCCATATTTAAAGCTTAAAAAAAGGGAAGAGATAGTTCTTATCTGAAAGATCTAATCAAAAGGGAAAAATAAAATCTTCATCAAATGTCTGAATCTAAATTGTGCAGGATTAAATTGAAATTAATTCTCTTGTATGAGCTAGAAGTATTAAAATTCTATCAGTGGAAACACAATCCCATCCCGATGTGCTGGAATAAGAAAATTTAGGATTTTGTTATCCCAGGTGCAGGACAGACGATAAAGAGTTGGGCAACCTTATTTTCTTCTGTAGAAAGGAAAAGAATTCCTAGCTGATACAGAGAAGTAAAATATGCTTCTGAGAAAAGTTCTTATGGCTTGAGAAAAGGTTCTGATATAAGCAACACTAAAAGGAGAAGGAAGATAGCATGAAGGGCTGGTAGAGAAATATCTACAGCTCCTAGTTTCATGTAAACAGAGGAAGACTGGCACACATCC